TTCTTTAAGTCGAAATTTCCATCACGAAAGCGTTTAAACCAAAATCGTACGGTGCGTTCATTAGTAGACCCCTCTCCAAACGTAGCATTGATATTGCGGGCTGTTTCTGCCGCGTTAGTTCCGCGTCGGAACTCGTATTCAAAAATCACTCGAATTTTCGCAGTATCCATCTTTCTTGTCTAAATTGAATAACAAAAACAATTGAAAGTCGATATTCAAATGTTTCAAATTTAAAAAAAAAAAATCACAGAAACCATTTGAAAAAAGTTTCATTCGAAAACCTCAAACCATGAAGATTCTATGAAAATTCAAAGAACCTATTGCAATAAAACGGCAATTTCATACTTTAACCCCTAATATTCAAAATCATAATTCTAATTGGCTAAATAAATTACAACAAGAATGACTTTGACATATTATGTGTCAATATTTTGTTATGGTATTGGCATTGACTTACAAATAAATGGACGACGGGTCTAATACAAAAACCACGAAAAAAATGTCCCAAGTCAACCTATTCGAAATTTAAATTGTAATGTCATCGCAGTATCGCGCTGTCAGTCGTACAAATGAAGACTAAAGCGGAGTGTCGCGCTCTGTATACGATTTTAGCGCCTTACATGTGCGGACACTTTTTAGCGCGGACCCGACGTCCATATAATTGTAAGTCACTGCTCCCCCATAAGTTGTTGTCTGTCAAAATACCATATTTTGCTTTTTAAGTCAAATAAATACTTTTTTATGCATATTATAGGTTTCACATTGAAAAGAAAAGAAATCGCTTAGTGTTATGTTTACTTTCAAAACGTGGAAACTATAATACATCTACAAAAGTATAAATCTAAATAAAAAAAAAACAAAAAAAAATATATTTTGACTTACCACAACTTACGTGGAAGGTATTGTTTTGAGGTCGGTTTTTTTGTAATCTGTACTGAGGTTATAAATTGTGTCTTTTAAATTCTGTTAAATGGAAATTTATTTTACTTCTAGGAGAGCTCAGCATCATGTACATCTTCGCTAGATACCGATTTAACTGGGATGAAGTTAAATACAGCATCTATTCTACTTACAGTCTTATTGCACATTCTATAGGTGAGTTCTATATGTGTGTGCCGTGTGATAATGAGTTCACACGCAATGCTTGTTTTGAAATATACGAAAATAACAGTAGAATTAAATTTAGCCTCGGTTTAAATGGCATTGTTCTGCACGTTTTTTACCGTATTCGATTATAAACGGATAGACAGCGGGGTGTTCACACTGTATAGTTTCATGCGTCTGTGATGGATTAACGCTTTGTTGCACTTATATATTGGCATAGAAAACGCCAACGGCTTTGTCGCCGGAGGAACAAAAGGTATTGGGTTTATACAATTACATAGTTTTGTCGGCGGAATGAACGGAATAAATCGTTGTCCACAGAAGATTCACTGGTCATTTTGTATTAATAAAATTATGCCTGCCCTCCTTCCAAAAGATACTTCAAAAGATTGATTATTCGATAAAAAATGTATGACTTCGCGCCGTTTGAAAGAAATGCATTAATACTATGCGCTACTGCACACCGAATACGTTACGCCAGGTTGACGAGACTTTGACCTGCGTTTTTCGCTTGCTTGCGTTGGGTACGGTATACGGTGTAGAAATCTGCCTTCCGCTTTGCGGAGAGACTTGCGCGCATGCGAGGCGTCTTGCCTTTGTTTGGGTTGTTGGCATTCGACCCGGCTGCTGCTCTGTGATTGGCCGCAAGCGACCGGCGCAAACGAGCAACTCGTGAACAGTCCTATCTGCGCGTACGCGACAGACCTTTGCGTATGCGCGAAGCGAGTCACGCAAGCAAGCGAAAAACGTAAGTGATAGAAACGTGAACTTGGCATTAAAAATCATTCGATTTGCATGACAAGTCCGTTGCGTATTCGATAGACGTAGCTGTGTGCGTTTTTTTGCAGGAGAAACCGTGTTGACGGTTCTAAATATATCTAATGTATGCGCCACTGTTTATTCTGTAAGATTTATACTGCAAAACAACGTGCAGTACAATGCCGTGTGAAAGGGGGATTACTAATTTAAATAATATCTATATAGAAAGTGTGATTTCAAAGTAAACCTTGTTAACATTGACTTACAAATAAATGGACGACGGGTCTAATACAAAACCCACGAAAAAAATGTCCTAAGTCAACCTATTTAAACGTAGTGACATGTAAAGGAATATGAAAAAGCTAAAACGTTGAATTTAAATTGTAATGTCATCGCAGTACTGTCTAATTTTGCTTGCTTCGCTGTCAGTCGAACAAACGAAGACTAAAGCGTGAATGACGCTCTGTATACGATTTTAACGCCCTATAAGTTCGGACACTTTTTAGCGCGGACCCGGCGTCATATATTATTGGAAGTCAATGCTTGTCAATTAAATATTTTCTCTGTAAATTTGTCTATGTATATATAACAGCTCTTTTATCACGAATTAACAGTAATGACGCCGCAATGGACCACGTCATACCTACAGTTTGTTTTAGTAGCACTCCTTTTGAAAGAGTTCGTCCAGGGAAGTACTGCCACCTTATCTATTTCTGCCGCCAAGCAGTAATGTCACCATTACTGTGTTCCGGATTAGAAGGGTAAAGGTGCTGGTGAAATTACGGTACATGGGACTTGTCAACTTATGTCTCAAGATGACGGGCGCAGTGGCAGTGCCCATAAGATATTTGCGATTTAAAGCTCTGAATGGCACTGCAACTGTTGTGGATAGGCGCACGACTTCTTCATCCCGGCGTTTGATATCTTAAAATAAGTTCTTTTAATCTATTTTAGATTAAAGGTAAATAAGTCCGTTTCGTTTTAACCAAACCAATGATTGCTTAAGAATTTTAATTCCGCAAAAATAGTTTAATTTCTTGTATTTTACAATGACGAAAACATAAGAACTTACAAGTCTACTTTACTGTCTAAGTAGTAAGTAGTCTAAGTTACTGTCAACTGACACTTTCAAGTGTATTTTCAGGGTTTCAACTTGACATCTTGTAACTTGTTCCATCAATATTCATTCGAATAACATTTTGAAATCATATTTGAAAAATTTTATTCCAAAAGTGGGATTATTTGACAAATCGACGCCGTACTTTCTCAAACTCGTATCTTATAAAGAGTGATTACTTAGGATATGGCATAACTTTCTATTTATATCAAATTACTAATCAAGGATGTTCTAATACTTTAAGTTTAGATAAAAGCCAGTGTGTGAATATGCAGAAAATGTGATATGAAATCGGTCTGCAAAATTTATAATATACAATCCATTTTTTGTATTTCAGTAACTTTGTGCTTTAAGATACGAGTTTTAGAAAGTAAGGCGACGAAGAGTAGAAATTTGAATAGTCAATGGCTGCATAGATACGAAAAAAATAATTCGGTTACTTCAATTAAAATATATATTAGTAAATGGAAAGTCTCAATCACAGTCAAACTATCTAAAGTGTAAGGATTTCAAGGAGGATTTGTAGTCACAGCGTGTATGTCGTTACTTAACGTAAAAAAATATTAATTATTTAGTTGTAGTGTGCTCGTAACAATATAACTATCATCAAACGAGAGGACGAATAGCCTTTAACTTACATAATTTATTGTCTTTAACTGATTTTAACTTTTAAACAGTAAACTTCACGTTTCACGTTCTCCCACTTATGTTCATGACGACGGCCAATGTGCAGAATGCACTACAACACGCGCAGATTATAATTTATTATAATTACTAAACTACGATCGAACATTTAGAAAAATTCTAATATTCTAATAAATAATTGAATATCATGGTGGTGCAATGTACTGACATTCAGTAAATTTAATTAAGATTATAATTTTAGTGTATCTCACTCACCGATGGGCATCTGCCAATGAGAGTCAAGGTGAGGCTTTGGCTGACAGCCTAGATACGGCGAAGGCGTTTGACCGGGCCTGGCACCAAAGTCTTCTTTCGAAGTTACCATCATACGGGCTACCTGAGGGGTTATGCAAATGGGTTTATAGCTTTCTGTCCAGCAGAAGCATAAGAGCCGTCGTCGACGGTAGTTGCTCTGACGGTTTGGACATTATCGCTGGCGTCCCGCAAGGTTCTGTGCTGTCCCCAACGCTGTTTTTGCTGCACATCAATGATATGCTGTCTACTGACGGCATTCACTATTACGTGGATGACAGCACGTTGGACACCTATTACACTGGCAATGCTAAGTCCCCTTGGTTTTTTGTAGAGGAGAGCCGTAAACAACTAGTGTCACAAACAGAAAAAACCCTGAAGAGGGTTTCTGATAGGGGACGATTAAACTTAGTCCAATTTAACCCCACCAAGACACAGGTTTGCGCGTTCACCGTTAAAAAGACTCCATTTGCTGCAGACCTTCAGTTACAGAACAAGCCATTAAATATCTCGGACAGTATTGGGATCCTTGGTGTCGACATCTCTTGTGATGTTCGATTCCGTAGTCAACAGGGCTAAGCGGTATTTCACTTCGGAGCAGAGACTGCTACTTTATAAGTCACAAGTCCGTCCCCACATGGAATTCTGCAGCCATCTTTGGGCGGGAGCTTCTGGATACCAGCTTGGGCCCTTTGACGCGGTTCAAAGACGTGCTATGAGAATTGTTGACTATCCTGTGCTTACAGACGATATTGAACCACTGTCTTGGAGGAGAGACTTTGCCTCCCTATGCCTGTTCTATCGCTTGTACAATGGCCAACGTTCTGAACAACTGTTTGACCTGATTGATACCGCTCGCCACCGGTAGGGAGTCCATTTTCACACGCTGGAACCGAGTCGATCTCGTACTGTACAGTTTCAGAGGAGGTTCTTCTCACGTACGTAATTAGGTTGTCGGAGTTTTCCCGCAAGAATACAGCATGGATTCCGACAAAAGGGGTTTGAGAAGGGTCCTAAAGGGTTTGCAACGCGATTGTGACGCCACTAGTGTTGCAGGTGTTCATAGGCGACGGTAACCGCTTTCCATCAGGCGGGCCGTATGCTTGTTTGCTGCCTACATAATACAAAATAATAATCTTTTAATCCTGTGTATTAAAATACCACCAGTCAGTATCGAAATTCTGTTTTAGTAATCAGCAGCTATCGAGTATATAAACAGAAATAACGACAGAAAGAGACGAAACAAGGGTCATCCATCCCTGGCAATTCATCAAGCAAATGGGCCTTATATCACTTTTATATATCAACTCTTGTTTGCGCTGATATCACAAATTAGAAAGCTGAAATAGTACAGCGCTAACAACTGACCTGTGTGTACGTCTCCGTATATTCCAAATAATTCAATTAAACAAGAGTCATTCAATCAATTAATTCATTCGTAATTGACAGTAAAATTTGCCATCAATAAACTGTGTATGATCGGGTCAATGACCAGTTTGTTTACCTTTCATGTAGAATAGAAACGAGTTATAATATGTATATCACACGTATCAATAAAAAAACACTTTCCTTGCAATCAAAGTTTTTGAAAATTAGTTATAATAATATTTTCCATCCTCTAATAAATGTTCCTAGAATAAATATTGAAAGTTTAAAAAAATCCTGTTTAGAATCACTATTCCATTTATGTATTCGGTTTACCGTTTGCTTCTTCTGACATTAGTAAGTTTTTTGACTATAGTGACACTCTTGCGCAGGAACTACACCAACATGATTGACAGACACCAACGAAGCTTAGCGATAGCGGTTACTCAGCGCGATTTAAGGATAGTTATAGGCAATCTTAGGGAAGCTGGTTTATTGTAGTCTGATGTCCTTGATTATTACTAGGATGAATCCTACAAACTAATTAAAGTATAATATAAATGTAAGTTGCAATTATACAATTTAATATATAAAGTGCGAACTCTAACTAATCTAGGTCATACAAACATCTTTATCTGAGGTTGCTGAGGCACTATCCGTAACTCACGCGTATTTTATCCAAGGACGCATTGACATTAGTGTCATCTAGCGTAAACTAAGAAGATAACTGGCACAGGTCTTTGTGTATTAGATGTATTAACTTTTCCACGTGCGAAGCATGGCGGGAAACTTGAAAAAGCGAGATTTTCGTCTAGTCTAGTTTTGTCGTGCGATATTATTGGTCAAAATTTGTGACAATAAGAAGCGCCCTACAATTTACAATATTTTATATGACTGTAAGAGGATAGTTGACAGTTAGATCAGAGCACAAAAAAGTAACGTTCTCTCTCCGCCCCTTCCTAGCTTTATATACTGCACCACACCCAGTACATTGACGGTCACATTGACTCAACGGCAATAAGGCTGTCGGCGAACCGTTTTCGCGCTAAGACGGCTTTGATTATTTGATTATAGTTTTCATTTATTCATTACTAAAGTTGTACGTTAATATAAAACATCATTTTACGTTATTATTTATAATGGTTGTGAATTGTGCTATGTACGGCTGTTTATCGTCATCTAAACAGGATAAAGAGAGGAGTTTCTTTCGTTTCCCGAGAGATTAAAATAAAACAAGTAAAAAAGCTTAGACACTCATTCAGTTATTGTTTTCTTCGTTTATTTAGTGCAGAGTAATACATAATTCAGATTTATTATATCAATATAATGATACTCCATAACTTCGTGAGCTTGTTGACAAGGCATCTCGGATTTTCAATTTGTATTGCCGGTAAATATTACGTAGTGAATATAACGTAATTATTAACTAGGTAGTGATAAACTTAGACACGCAATTTCAAACGCGTTGGTTATTTAAAAGTACCTGTCCAAAATATAACATTTGAAATGTTTTTAATTATATTTTTTAATTAAATCTTCAATATTGCACTAGTTATTGAATGAATTAAAAATATAATATTATATCGATATAAATACCTAATGAACATGTGTAATTATTAGGATTCTATTAATAGAATTATAGCTACCAGTTTCTCGTTAGAATTTTCGCTATGTTGCTCTGATCACGTAACGTAATAGTACGAGATAGTGATGGGTAACCCTGCCATTTCACGCACACATTTGCACGTGTGCAGATAGCGCCTCGCTATATGCAGTAATAGTAGTAGTAGTAGTAGTAGTAGGTAACTAACTATCGACCGTTGTATGGAGCGTCCGTGGTGTGGTTAGATTAAGGGCGCTTTCAAATTAGATGCCAGTGTGTGTGTGTATGTCCCAGCCGGTTTCGGCGACTGGTATTGTTTAGAATTAGAGCTACGGTTGTTTGCTATTTCATGTGCCCTTAAATGGTTATAGTAGCCACTCGTATTGGTAAATGTTCGCAAACAGTGGCGACATGTAAGGACATCGTCAACAAAGTAATAAAAGATGGCTGCAGGTGTTTTAACCTTGACAGCATCACGTTTCACGTCCAGGTCCGACAGTCTCTGCTCCTCAAATTTATGCTACAGTAGCGCGACTGTGACCGCAGTTTTCTATAAACGTCTAATTTGAAGGCGTCCTAACTTTCAGAGTAAAGATAAAATATCAAAATTGTTACTACAGTTAACAGTCAGAAACGACCGGTCTGAGACCGACACTGCTTCGGGAAAAATTGTATTGCTAACATATCTTTACAACAATGCATTTGCAGCTAAACTACTTTGCTTGTATTGTGTTGTGGTTGTAAAGGCGTGTAAGCAAATAGAAAAGAAAGATTATTTTAAGTAGACAATTTGGTTATTTAATTCTTGCCTGCTATTTTCTGTCATCTAACTTTCCGATTTAGTATTCTAAAACTTATATAAAGTTGGATTAAAAAAAAAACTTCTTCTTAATCAGGAACGATCTTCAGCATAAGCGTGTTCAGTAAGAAACTGAAAGCAGATGACGCTGTGCTTGGCATGATATCGACGACCAGCAGAATTTGTGGCTCGTTGGTTCTGGCCTTTGCCAGGACCGACGTTGAAGTTTATATGGGTAAGACTTTATTTGTGTAGTATTTTATAGATGGTGTATAAAGGAGAAGCTTATTTTTTAAGCTGCTGCTCGTTCACTGTGCTGACTTCCCTGAGAAGAACGACCAAATGATATAAAATTTAACGATGTAATGTTTCAGCACCTCTTGTGGAAATTCTGAATGGTACGACATCAATTGCGTTGAGATCGATTGCATCTAAGCTGGTGTCGTATCAGGAACTTGGTAACTTTATTTTTTTATTATTATACAGAGTGGGACAAAAATTACGCCCGAGTTTAAGGGAGCAATTTGAAAAAAAAAAAAAAACCTACAGAGCTTACGGTCTTGATTTAAAAACCGACTACATCAGTGTATTGCTGTTGAAAGTCGTCTTATTGCTGAAATCGTTTTCGAAACATGAGGAAAATCTGTACGATGTACGGAATTGAATAAAAAAAAGTTCTGTACTTTTTAATTATTTTCCAAAACTCGAGCGTATTTTTTGCCTCAGCCTGTATTACTTTCATTCATCCAGACGTGTTATACTAAAAATAAAATGACATTCGACATATTGCCTGAACAGAATTTTAAATATTTAATTTTTACGTATTGTATAAGTACAATCCCGAGAGAAAGTGCGCATGCAACTAATCCGTCTTTTGTTGCAATGATGTAATTACATTATTGTTCATATACCATCGGAGTGCTTTAAAAACCTTTCTGCACACAGTATGTTTAGTCAATTTTATATGAGAGCTGCGTCGTAAGATGTTAACGCCTCTTCAAATGATTCATGTTGTTTCTGTTTCAATTATGTACTTACACGATTGAGAGCGTTTTGATTTGGCGACTTTGTCACTAGATTAAACGACATTTTGATATCAAATGCGACATTTTATCTCTATTTAGCGACAAAAAAATTTGCGACTTTTTTGGCGCCCATTTAAATTTCACCTATCATATAATTTTATCTTAGCTGACTTTGTTGACGCGCTGCTGAATTGTAGATTTCTTATTTCAGGTGTATTGTTTTTTTTGTTTATGCTACAATCTTAGAATAAAAACACTTAGAAACCTAGCCCGCACACGCTAAGTGAGGCAAATTGAAGCGCTCCCAAAAGGCCTACACGAGGGGGCGGGCCTTCAGTGCTCAAGGTCAACTTGCACCGCGAACAGCTCCAGAATTTTTAAAAATTATGAAATGTGCGGTAAATGAGTGCAAAAATACGTCAGACAAACATAAAGTAGATACTAACATCACATTCCACAAGGAAGTAACGCGTTTCAACTTGTATTTTTATATAAATATTCACTAAAACCGAAAATTAACCTGCTACTAAAACTAGCCTACATGAATTTGATTTTTGCCTCACTTATGACAGTTCGTTTGATATGAAACTATCATTCTATGCGTTATTATTCTAAGGCTCCAACCATAACATTTTTGCCCATGAAATAAACCTTATAATAAATATCGTAATAGTCGAGTTTTCATATGGATTGCAAATTAATGCATTTAAATGTTCTATCTAGCGATAATGGTCTACAGTATCGGCACGCCATGGTGGCCGTTTTGACAATTCATTATTGAAAAAAATATAATCAAATGCCAGTCGCATCTATAAGTTTTTATATGTATAACTAGTATTGCAAGAGGTAGCTGATTATAAAGTTTTAATAAAACGAAAATAAGATTTGTTTACTTATTGTATCCTCAATTCGAAACTGCTTTGTTTTGCATTGAGCTTTGACGCGAGTTTGCCGGAGGTAGAAGTTGTGCTAGACAGCGATCTTATAAGTGACGGTCGTATCAGATTTAATTTTGAAAAATTTCGAATTTCGAAAAACAAATGCCGAGTTGTGTCGTAAAATTATACATCCATAAATTTTACTGCACGTCACTACTGACAACAATGCACGTCAATTAGCTCCTTCAACGTAGTTATGAATTAATACGAAACTTGATGAGCGGGCAAACGTGCCGGTACCATAGTTGGCAACATTGATGATTGATCGTATAACATCAGGATGCTTTAGCGTGCTCTGCACACAGCATATCCTGTCCTTGGATGATCCCCGCGTGGGTCGCACCACATTCGGTATGTGAGGCTCGAAAAAAGTATAAGCATTCGGTACCAAAACTACACATCCAAATAGGCAATGTAGTGTAAACAGTGACGTCAGTCAAAACATCAACAGCAGACCCTATTATTAATTTATACTTAGCTAATATACTATTTTTTATCTTTTCAAATAACATAGCAAATAAAGATAAGGTTATCCCAAACTTCGTAAAAGTTTATCAGCAGAGTTTGGTTGTTACGCTTTGTATTACAGTCACATAAAGAATAATGAGCCTCAGTAGAGATAATTATAGACCTGCCCAATGACACTAATATTTGAGGACAGCTTACTTAGTAAATACTTTTTTATTATTATTGATACAAAGATCGTACAGACACAAAGAAAATAAATCTTCGATTCGGCTGAATTCGAACCCGTGACGTCGCTATACCAGGGCTATCGATCTCCTAATTGAGCTACGGAACGAGTCAGCGCACCTTACGAATTTTTCTCTTTGCCCATTGTACGTTTTGTTTTTGGTTTTAACGGCTTTCTGCCTTATTTGAATACCGTAGTTGTAAAAATATTTTTCATTTATGACAGTCTTTACTAGGCTAACCCATATAAGAATTAAGTAGGCCTTCCTTTACCATATACTATACACATACGAGCACATTTAGCTTAACTACATAAAAGCGAGAATATAAAATAGTAACGTTTAATATTTAAATAAATAAGAATTAAAAATAAAGTACTAATTAAATCAACATCTCTTAAAATCGACTTAGTACTACGAAATTATAGTAAATGCATTTTTTTAAAGATTTTATGACCTTTGTCATCTTTAAGAAACAGCAGAAAATATAAAAATGGTAACAGCTTAATATTGAAAATTTAATAAATAAGAATAAAGTTAAACTATAGTTCACGAAATTTACAAGAACGCGATATCAACCATGGAACACTTAGTATTAATAGGAAATTATATAACACATGAATGAAAAAAAATAACAGTCAACTTATTATTTTAAAATTAGACTTAAGAAAGTGAAATAACCGACCAGACTTCTGAAAAAAAAAACTGCATTATTTTAAGGTTTTCACAAGTGTGCCGTTAAGCGTGCCGGTGTGTTTATATTTAAGAGACGAACAGCATGGATTTAGCATGATCAACGTACAAATGATTATTTTTGCAGGCAAAGTGTACTCCTTGTTTGGTGTGGCTGAAACTGTGATGCCCCTGGTGTTTGTACCTATGTACTCCAAATTGTACATCAAAATGCTGCACGTACTGCCTGGTGCACCATTCTTGCTGACTGTACTGGCCACTATACCTGCACTTGGAATATTCGGGTATATTCTACATAGACGTACCCTAATTGCGTGTTTACATAGAGTCGATATGCCGCCTTCAACAGTTTATTTGCCCTGCCGAAGGAGGCGTTGTCGACTCGCTGTTTTCATCGAGTCCGCAAATACATTGAAATTTGTTTGGTCGACCGTTACTTGCCGCCGACAATGATTACACCTAGTCGACCGAGTCGACTCCGGCAGTAAACACTACGGTCATAAACGACTCATTGGTTACATTGAGTAGGTTGCCGCCTTTCACTGGCTGAGCGAACGTTACCTGTCGACCTAGTGTAAACTCGCCATTTACTCGGTGACTACCTCGATGGTCCTGGGTTCGATTCCCGGTTGGACCATTGAGAAATGACCTTTTCCTTTTCTTTGGTTTTAATCTTGTATTCTGAGTAGCGTCTCTGGGTGAATTCCGTTGGTCTGATACTCATGTAGTACAGGAAATTCCCTACTTTGAGATAGTTATAATTGGAGTGATTATCTTGAACATTATTATTATTATAGGAAATGAAACTATTTTTCCGGATTTATTGGTGAAATTACAGGCACATGGGAATTGGCAATTTATGTCTCAGGGTGACAGGCGTAGTGGCAGTACCTCTCATAATATTGCGATTTAAAGCTCTGAGTGGCACTGCAACTGTTGTGGACAGGCGTGTAGCTTACCATCAGGCGCACGATTTATTCGTCCCGTCACTTGATAGTATAAAAAAAATGTTGTTGTAATGTTGATTAGTAAGCAACACTCGTCCACGCTGACAATGCATCTCGCCCCGCCCCATCTAATAGCGGCAGAGCGCGTCGTGACAGGGGTAAATAAGATTCTTTTCTTGTCCGGCACCGAGACAGTGTACACAGTTCGTGTGTAGAAACGACATGAATTTTTGCATAGACCCGGTGACTTTTCTTAGCGTGTACACGCGCCCTAAAGCGTCCGAAACGTTGGTATGTTTGAAAAAACAAATATACGCGATTTGAATACGGAAAAATAGTTTCATTTCTTATGTGTAACAATCGCGAAAACCTATAAATTCGATCTTATTATTATTATTACTACTTTCAATAGGTATTCCACAATTCCACTAGATAAAGACCAAAGACAGGTCTTAATTGCGGCCTCATAGATATTGCATTCAGGATTTTAGTACCAAGCAACTTTCCTTCAATTTTGTCGCAGTGTTGAACACCTAAAGCACTAAAGGAGAGGTAAAATCTTTGCTGTTTCCAGATGGTTCTATCAACAACACAGGAAAGACGACAAGGCGAAAAGACTGGAAATACCGAACACTCCACCGCCATCGAGCGTCACTGTTACCACTGAATCCAAAGACAGTTGCGTCAGTAACTGCAGTTGAATGAAGACTACAATTATTTAAATTTTAAAAGTATTAATAGTTATTTGTTATTAAAAGGCTGCAAAGTTGGTGTTTTGACGCGAATACTTGTATCGAAACTTGATCAAACAGAGAAGTCTAAGGGTCGTATTCTAGAACTCTACTCAATGCTCAAGTCAGGATTTGAGTATGTTTTAAAGCACTCGATATCACACTCAAGTCCCTGCCATTAGGGTCGTATTTCCAGTGCTTGTGTTGCCAGTGCAATCCTGACTTGAGCATTGAATAGAGTTTTAGAATACGACCCTAAGAGAGAGAAGATTCTCAGAGAGAGAACTCGCTTCCCTCGTGATTCAAAAATATAATTCTGAGCGTAGCGAGGATTTCAAGGCACGAGACGCAAAACAACTTTGCTGCCGAGCAAAACACACAACTTTTCACCTCACTATAGCGAGGAAAATGGTAGATGAAAGAAAAACACTTGTACTATAACAAATCAATTGTATTCATACATCAAAAATAGTTTAATAAACAAAATTAGTTATCGTTGTCAATTTAATGTCAACTGTAATAAGAATAAAATAGGTATACCAACGGATTTATATTACATAAATGGATGGGTCCTAAGTATAAGGGCCAAACTAACAATTCGATCATTTTCACTTTTTTGTGAGAAATGCTTCTTTGCATTATAATCTATAAGGTAGCGTTAAAACAAAATCACATCGAAATACAAGGAAATCTTGAAAATATACCAGATTTAATGTTTGGAAGCCTGACCTGTAAAATTGTGATTTTGCGTTTTGGCCCTTATACATAGGACATCATGTCATTATGTTTTTTATCTACACACATATCCTAGACACTCTATGATGTGTTCAAAAACCGCAAATAACGATCAGCTTATAGATAAACTGTTTTGTTTGAACAAATTTCTTATCTGTGAAAATGTTATTATTGCTTCATAGTAACATCGAATTCGATTTTATATTTATATTACATTCAAATTTCGAACATCTGTGAAAAACAAAACAATTTGATTGAACCTCAATTTTAATATCAGTCGAGATGAAGTTTTATTCGAAACGAAATGTCAATAGCAAACAACTTTGACAATTTCACACGTCACTTGATATCAAACGATATGATAGTTGGAGCCGATTCGAGTTTGTCTATGATTAAATATAAAAACTACGGTTGTGTGACATGCGTGAGAAAAGTTATTATTTGCCGCCATTTCGCCAGTCGTAACATGCGGTTCCTGAACACGTCACAGAGAGCTTATAATATGTGTGTAGATAAAGCAGTGTACGTAACTGTACATAATTAGGCATTAATACACTCGTGAGATGTTTTTATGAAACCCACACTCGTATTTTAATGCCTTTCATTATGTAACAATCACATAAACTACTATTTTACTTACAATTGAAATTCAGGTTCACGATTGGATACGGCGACTGTGGTTTGTCGAAAAAAAATGAGTGACAATCGCCAATGGTACCGCCACAAGTACTGGAGATGAAGGTAGTCCTTTGCTTATCGTATCGAAGGCATAGATTTGCAGCCCAGGACTATGGGACAAGTTTGCAATTGTGGATAAAGGATTTGCCAATCGGTGTAAGGTTCTCGCTGATTGTCGCCTTGTGATGTCTATGTGTGTGTCCATGGCACCCGAGATACAGGGTTTCCCTAGCGCGGGGCTATAAGTGTGTGCGCGTCATTATTATTATTATTAATTTCTATTTTAGACTCTCGCCTCCCCCAAGGCCTAAAAGATTAAATTTGAATTTTTAAATGGAATTCCTCGGCAATGGCACAGTCGGCCGGGATCAGGGACTTAGGTTCAAGAAGCGGCAAATAATACGTGCTGTATCGAGCAGGACCGCCTTCTGCATTTGTGCTGGAAGCGACACGCCACAAAAATCCAACCGCCTCAAGATGTTAGCAAGGGTTATTTATTTATTGTTGTTGTCCAAGGTGCGTCAGCTGAACAAGGAATATGTAGTCTCACGGGGAGGCCCCTTTAAATTTGCTAATGCAGCAGGCAAACAAATTTAAACGGTCATCTTTTTAATGATTGATCCTCTTTACCTGTGGCATAACTAAGTTATTTGTCCACTCTGTGTATATTGTTAAAGTTTAGAACACCACACAACAAAACGTAATATACAATGTAATATATATTCTCTTTACAATCGCAATACTCTTTCTAAATAGTTAGATAACATTTACAAGGTTCCAGTTCAATATGTCATAGAATGTTATTCTTTCCTAAATTTCAATCTTTACAATTATATTTATTCTAGACTTTGTGTCAATTATAATAAAATAAACGTTATTGATAATTTAATTGTTATTAAAATTTTTATTGAATTTTTATGTGAAATTACTCCACTAGTTTTTATAATTATTAAAACAAAGATAAAACACTCAGAAAAAATTCCTTCGATCCGACGACGATTCGAATAGACGTCTTCTAGCATATCGTGGCAGACGCTATACCAACTAAGCCACGGAACGAACTAGCGGACCACACGAATTCTTCTATGTGTTTGCGTCGTATTTTAAATTAAATTTCACACATAAATTCCGAGCAACTAAGTGGTGCGAGTACCTATGATAGTACTCTCGAAGTTGTTGACGAGTATGTCTACCTCGGACAAACCGTCCAATTAGGCAGCATTTACAAATTATTTTATTTTAACAATGTAAATTTTTAATTATTAATACAAAGATCGAACACTCAAAAAACACTCAGAAAAAATTCCTTCGATCCGGTCGGATTCGAACCGACGTCTTCTTGCATACCGTGCCAGACGCTATACCAACTAAGCCACGGAACGAACCAACGGACCTCACGAATTTTTCTATGTGCTTGCGTCGTGTCTTTGTACTTGGCTTTTCAACGACTTTTTAGTCGTAGCGCCATCTATGAGAAATCTTTGACAGATTTATTTACGGGTCGAATCCGACCGGATCGAAGGAATTTTTTCTGAGTGTTCGATCTTTGTATTAATAATTATAACAAACTAGTGGAGTAATTTCACAAAAAATAATTGAATATCAATGCAATAAAAATTTAATTAATGTGAATTTTTATTAAGTTAAATTTATTATTAATTAGTAATGGCAATGAGAATAAATTACAACATATTAATTAGTACTGCAGTATTATATCTGTTTAGGATTTTTTACCAGAGGAAATACGGGATCCCAAACTAGTGGTACGGAGAAACCATCTTCCCTGTTGAAATTAGGATGTTTTTTAATTTCAATGGCCTCTCGCAGCATCCTGAGTAGATAACGGACTTCTTTTACAAGGACCTTTAAATCCAGAGAAATAGTTTCATTTCCTATGTGTCGCGAAAACCTAAGAACTCGATGTTATTTAGTTTCAGTTATGTTGTTAACCAAAACCAGGTTAATTGATAATTGTCGAATGAATAAACTTTACGTGCCAATATCTCGAAATCCGGGACGTCTTCTCGTCCACAATATCACAGTCCTTGAAGACTTCGAGCAGTGTGTGTTGCCAGCGATGACCTACGGCTCTGAGACGTGGTCGCTTAATATGGGCCTCATAAAAAACCTCAAAGTCACTCAACGAGCTATGCTCGACATTTGTCTACGTGATCGAATCAGAAATTAGGAGATCCATAGAAGAACGAAAGTCACCGAGATAGCTCGAAGGATTAGCAAGTTGAAATGACAGTAGGCACACGCAGAACTGATGGCCGTTGGGGCAGAAAGGTTCTTGAATGAAGACCCCGAATCGGAAGGCGTTCAGTGGGACGGCCCCCTACTAGATGGACGGATGATTTGGTAACGGCGGCGGGTAATTGATGGATGTACGTCGCGTCCGATGGGCAGGTCTGGAAATATTTGGGGGAGGCCTATGTTCAGCAGTGGACGTCTTCCGGCTGATATGATGAAGTGATACGAGACCGGATTTGAATCCACGGCTTCTGCACGAGATACAATAGGTCTAACCATTAGGTTACCACGGCTTTTTTGAAAGAAGTTGATTGATGACTTCATCAAAATAAAACAAATTTTAACATTAAGAAAACATGAGCTTACTTATAAATAACAGACCTTATTTGCACAGGAACAAGTGCTAAATCTCTTCATCATGACGTTTATTTAACTTTCCTAGAGTCATTTAAACAATGATTTCAAATACGAGTGTATTGAATTCCAAATTAACCAACTTTCACGTCAATATTATTCCAGTCCAATGTCTAAATAGGTTATTAAAGGCGGCTAATGGGTACGCTAATCACTAACTGGTGTAATTAACTTCTATATTGTGCTGTTATGGAAATATGGAAATTTATCTCTAGAAGAGTTGGACGGTGAGGTTTTTTTTTATGATACCAGATGATGACAGAATGAACGAGACGTCAAAGTTAAAGCATCATTTATTCCATAGGTAAAATAAATTTTCAGTTGGAAAAATATTTTTTAAGCTACTGCTCGTTCACTACATTGCTCTTTTAAAACAAACTTTAATGCTATGGAATACTCTTTAAATCAAATCTGTGTGGAATCTATAGCCATGTCCTCTTTCCATACATCTTTATCTAACACGTAGTTTTCAAATTTGAAATATGACATTTCAATTAAAATATTTTTAATGTAGTTTTTAAAGTTAAGAAATGATAATTTTAATATATGCTCCTGAATCTTATTATACAAACGTAGATAGTTCCCCACAAAAGAGTCGTTTACCTTGGTTAAACGAAATCGCGGCACCATGAGTTTGGACTTAGCTCTAAGGTTAATATTATGGATATCTTCTTTCTTATTGAAATAATGCATACTTTTACGGGCATATAAAATATTGGAGTAAATGTACTGTGATGTCACAGTCATGATACCAGTCTCCTTAAACTTTTCTCTGAGAGAAACCCGAGAACCTACACGGAACGAACCCCACATGAAAATCCCGTAGGACATTATTCTATGGAAGTAACTAAAGTAAACTAGTCTAGCAGGACTAACATCGGTAAGATCACGTATTCCGCGGATGGCGTATGCAGTGGAGCTTAATCTGCTGGCCAGGGAAGATATCGATGCCTTACTTTCTTAAGCTCGTATCTCATAAAAAAGCGATTATTCAGAAGATGACAAAACTTTCTATTTATTTTAAATTTCTTATCAAGGGTGTTAATTTGTATGTATTAATTTAAGAATAGGTAAAAATCAGTGTGTGTAAAATTTGTATATACAATCC